GTTTTCGCCTCGTGAACAGCCAGGGTAAAGTTTTAAATATTGCCCGGGTTTATCGTCTCTTGAACAGCCAGGATCAAGTTTTAAATGTTGCCCGGGTTTATCGCCTCGTGAACAGCCAGGGTCAAGTTTTAAGTGTTACCCGGGTTTTCGCCTCGTGAACAGCCAGGATCAAGTTTTAAATGTTGCCCGGGTTTATCGTCCCTTGAACAGCCAGGGTCAAGTTTTAAATGTTGCCCGGGTTTATCGTCCCTTGAACAGCCAGGATCAAGTTTTAAGTGTTGCCCGGGTTTTCGCCTCGTGAACAGCCAGGGTCAAGTTTTAAGTGTTGCCCGGGTTTTCGCCTCGTGAACAGCCAGAGTCAAGTTTTAAATGTTGCCCGGGTTTATCGTCCCTTGAACAGCCAGGGTCAAGTTTTAAGTGTTGCCCGGGTTTTCGCCTCGTGAACAGCCAGGGTCAAGTTTTAAGTGTTGCCCGGGTTTATCGCCTCGTGAACAGCCAGGGTCAAGTTTTAAATGTTGCCTGGGTTTATCGTCCCTTGAACAGCCAGGGTCAAGTTTTAAATGTTGCCCGGGTTTATCGTCCCTTGAACAGCCAGAGTCAAGTTTTAAGTGTTGCCCGATTTTATCGCCTCGTGAACAGCCAGGGTCAAGTTTTAAATGTTGCCTGGGTTTATCGTCCCGTGAACAGCCAGAGTCAAGTTTTAAATGTTGCCTGGGTTTATCGTCCCTTGAACAGCCAGGGTCAAGTTTTAAATGTTGCCCGGGTTTATCGTCCCTTGAACAGCCAGAGTCAAGTTTTAAGTGTTGCCCGATTTTATCGCCTCGTGAACAGCCAGGGTCAAGTTTTAAATGTTGCCTGGGTTTATCGTCCCGTGAACAGCCAGAGTCAAGTTTTAAATATTGCCCGGGTTTATCGTCTCTAGAACAGCCAGGATCAAGTTTTAAATGTTGCCCGGGTTTATCGCCTCGTGAACAGCCAGGATCAAGTTTTAAATGTTGCCCGGGTTTCCGTCTCTTGAACAGCCAGGGTCAAGTTTTAAATGTTGCCCGGGTTTATCGTCCCTTGAACAGCCAGAGTCAAGTTTTAAATGTTGCCCGGGTTTATCGTCCCTTGAACAGCCAGGGTCAAGTTTTAAATGTTGCCCGGGTTTATCGCCTCGTGAACAGCCAGGATACAGTTTTAAGTGTTGCCCGGGTTTTCGCCTCGTGAACAGCCAGGATCAAGTTTTAAATGTTGCCCGGGTTTATCGTCCCGTGAACAGCCAGAGTCAAGTTTTAAATGTTGCCCGGGTTTATCGTCTCTTGAACAGCCAGGATCAAGTTTTAAATGTTGCCCGGGTTTTCGCCTCGTGAACAGCCAGGGTCAAGTTTTAAGTGTTACCTGGGGTTTCGCTTCGTGAACAGCCAGGATCAAGTTTTAAGTGTTATAAACGGTTCTTTTACACTTTTAAGTTCATTTTGGTTGAAAATCTTTGGTCAATGATGGCACAAGAACGTTTGGCTTGGATTTTCCTACTGAAAATGAAGGATGTCTTGTCTAGGTAATGTGTATCCTTCTCTCTTGAAAGCCCTGGTATTGTGTAATATCAGTTTTCGTCCTCGCCTGTAATCTCTAGGAATCATAACTGAACACACGGGACATTTTATTATCGGAAACATATTTTGTTCCCTGCTATTGTCAACTACTTGTAAAATAATTTTTGACAAGATTCTTTCAATATCTAACCGATTTTCTATTGTTAAAACATTGAATACCAATGTGAAATAAATTGAATATAATATAAATACACATTACGTACCGAATAAAACCAAACTATTGCTCATTGCTAGCCTCTTAATAGTTATATTAAAATTAACCCGATCCTATCCTAGAGGGGCCAATCAACCCATTTGACTACAGGGACATGGAACTTGCATTTGTTTCTGTATATACCGAGTAGGTTATAAACCTTTGTACACACGTCCAAACTGCGATCTGTACTCCAAGTTATGTTCTGAAACATAGTTGCCTGTTCTTCTGAGGCAATGAAATGTACAGACTACTAAAGAATGACAACAGGACGATTTCTTTAATATCAAAATACAAAATATAAAGTGCAAAAATTGTTAAAAGGACAATAAGTTATTTATTTCCACTCGTCGTTAGAACAAGTGGCAGAAGAAATGCTTGAAGCGCCCCCTGGTTTTGGACATATCTGTGAAGGAGGCGATAACTGTACACCTAAAACAACATTTTGTTTACTTGCATAGAGTGTAAAATAACTAGTTTGGCTAAGAGTAAAATGTCATCAAAGTAACCGATAATGTGAGTGCTGTGCTGGACACATTCCAATCCGATATATTTCAAATAAAATGGACGCAAAAAATTCGCCAAAAAGATTTATACAATGTCGATAAAAATGTAATCTACTCTAATAGAAGTCCAAGATGGCGTCTACTAAAAGTCTAGCTAAAGTATTCAATGAAAAGTTATAGAGTAATAAAATTAATCAATAATTATTTAAAATTGAAAATCTGCCCATAAATTTTCATCAGAAGGATAAAATCACAAGGCACCATAAATCAAGCGCCTGGCGGATTTTACATATCTGTTAACTCGGAAGTTAACTTCCTACATCTAGTTACATTGCCTCAGCTACCTTGGTTTACCGTGACGTCATATGTTAATATTGTGCCAGGAGATTTTATAGATAGATTCACAAGGAAACTTACGCTTGGTAAGAAACATCATACTTATATGACTACGTATTATCTTCACCTTATTGAAGCTCGTGCTTCGTGGATCAAATCTACTTAAAAAGTCTCACAAAATCTAGCATCCATAAAGCACGTAGATAGTACATTTATATACATGTGTCAAATAAGATTATTTATGACGATTCTACTGACTAACCTAATGTGTAAAATTGTGATTCTACCAGACACTATTTTAAAGAGTTTTGAAATATGACAATCACAATCCATTTCTCCATTCTGTGTGCATAGTTGGTATAATGAGGACAAATCCTTATATTCAAGCCTATAGGTATCGTTAGTATATTAAAATGTGGCCAAGACGACCCCATGTATAATACTGATGACATTACAGAAGAATATATGTATCGATGGTATAATAATAATGACGTCATATTAATATGTCTGTAGTGTTGGTATGATAATAATGATGTCATATTAATATGTCTGAAGTGTTGGTATGATAATAATGACGTCATATTAATATGTCTGTAGTGTTCGTATGATAATAATGATATCATATTAATGTCTGAAGTGTTGGTATGATAACAATGACGTCATATTAATATGTCTGTAGTTTTGGTATGATAGTAATGACGTCATATTAATATGTCTGTGGTGTTGGTATGATAATAATGATGTCATATTAATATGTTTGAAGTGTTGGTATGATAATAATGACGTCATATTAATATGTCTATAGTTTTGGTATGATAATAATGACGTCATATTAATATATGTGTAGTGTTGGTATGATAATAATGACGTCATATTAATATGTCTGTAGTTTTGGTATGATAATAATGACGTCATATTAATATGTGCGTAACGTTGGTATGATAATAATGACGTCATAATGATATGTGTGTAGTGTTGGTACGATAATAATGACGTCATACTAATATGTGTGTAGCGTTGGTATGATGATAATGACGTCATATTAGTATTTATGTTGTGTTGGTATGATAATAATAACATGACATTAATATGTGTGTAGTGTTGGTATATTTATAGTGACGTCACGTATTTTCTGTGTGCATCGTGTTGCTGTAGTATAATATTGTATCATTACTGTATACAATAAGTCTAAAGACTTGAGGATTAAAGGAACCTGAACATCGTGTTGTTAGAATCATTTAACATGTGAAATTCTTAGAAAAAACAAGATATGACTCTAACCCTTATCATATATATATAACAGACCTAAGCAACGTTATGTGGCGCCGCACTTAAGTGTTTTATCAAATTTAAACCATATCAATTATCTAAATCGACTTTTTTTGCTCCTTGCAGACAAAGATAAATCTCAAAATATCAGGGTAATCTGTGGACGTGGTGGGAATGTGTATATATGTGTATTTAGTGCCATTTTTACCCTGTTCTATAACTGGACATAGGGACCTAATTAGTCACGTTATCCGTGTATATCTATCAGGATTTCGATAACTAACACCTTCTATGATTATGATATATATATGTGTGTGTGTATATATATATATATAATCAGATAGATGTTTTTTTGATCGACTGTTAATATAAACTCATTGTTTATAACTGGCACTGGCTAGGTATCTACCATAAACATATATTGTTATCGATTTCCAGGGCGCTGTGTACCTATCTCTCATTAGAACACCTATGTGATGTACTGTAGCGCACCAGACTTAAGGTTGGTATATGTAACGTTATGTACAGGAATGAAGTAGGTTTAGAATTGAATGGTCTCTATATAATAAAACAGAGCAGCAGTCAACACTAGACAGCTGTCACTGATAAACATTGGATAACACAAACTGCACAGCAGTCAGAAGTTTGTCTAAAACATCCCATGTCAGAGTAATGATAGGAATTAAACTAAATTGAAATTATGTTTCTAGAAATATACTATGAGATCAAATATTCATACCATGGTCGTAGTATAAATAGATATTTGTTGAATCGATATTTTTTGCTACAGAAATAATGAGTTTCGAGTTACAAAAAGTTCAGAAATGTGAAAGTCTTATCCGTGGAATTTGTCACAGTTTTCCTTGTCAAATGTAGAGATTTTCCCTTACAGACGAAACAGAAACCCCAGAACTCTTTGTTAGTCTAGTGGTGTATGGATAACACACGCAAACTATTGTGGGACAAAGAACAAGATGTGGCAATAGCTTAACATTACATATATAAATAAAAAAAATCACAGTTTGACGCAAAATTTAAAATCAATGATCACGGGACACCTAATCACCTTGGACGCCGCCAATGAGAAATCTAACACCGATAGAAACGCATTCCTTTACTTACACATGTTATTGTTTTAGGATAATCACACGTTAATACATTTTCACTCTAGTTAGTCTCTCGGAAGGAAATGCAATTTCTCGGGGAAGGGAGATAACTCTGGACGACCTTAATCTCTTTGCATATTTAGGCGTAGTGTCATAGGCAACGAGGAATCATCATGGAATGGATTAACGAAGATATTGGATAACGAAAGGAAACAAAGTCTTATCCGAAGTCATTATAATCGAAAACAGTATTACTGTGATGCTTAACAAAAGGCAATCAGATATTGTTTCGTTAACAAACTTGAGAAAAAAGTTATTATTCGTAACTAGAGACCTAGACGCCCCTTTTTGCTGAACGGACGGTACACTATCTACAGTATATTCTCATAGCTTATTAAAATTACCATCCGTTGACTTGGAACTGCTTAGTTCAGGCACTGGCAGATCTTTGTCAGTCGGACTTCGGTCCCTTTTGCTTTTGAGAAACGGTCTATGGTCAGTTTTTTTATTTTCCGCTTTTTCTGAGTATTCTACACTACACTCCTCGTCGTCAGAATTAAAATCCAGTAGTTTCGACTTCTCGCGCTCATGTCGCACGATTCCGTACTGCACATGCGTATAGTACAATACAAAGTTACTGACGATGATTGGGACGGTGAATGCAATCATGAGCAAACCGGAAATGGCACACAGGGATCCTATTATATAACCAAACGCTGTCGTGGGGTGCATATCTCCATAACCTACTGTTGTCATAGTGACAACACTCCACCAAAATCCGATAGGAATGTTATCAAACCCCTTTTTACCTTCTGCAAAATGAATCAACGAGGCAAACACAACCATTCCTATTAACAAGAAAACGAACATGAGCAATAATTCGTTGAAGCTGGCTTTAAGTGTGTACAGTAAAATCCACAACCCAGGCACATGGCGGATCAACCGGAAGATCCGACATAACCTGAGCATGCGCAAAATGACAATAAAATCCATAAAAGGCAATTCAGATCCTGAAGGATGGAATGCGTGGATGACAAACTCGATATAGTCTGGGACAATTGCTACAAAATCTATGATGTTTTGTAAGGCAGTGATAAACTGGACCTTCCTTGGACAGAAAACAAATCTAGTGACAAACTCAAGCGTGAAAAAAGTAACGCAGATAAGGTCGATGATGAGGAGAGCTGGGTGTGGAACGGTGTTCAAAACCTCCTCGTCGTCTCCCGACAGCGTGGTGTTATCGACGCTTAGACTGACGTTAGAGAAACCCACGGCATCGGACGAATCCGTTACGTCAATCATGAGTTTGTCTTTCAGAGCAAATAGATTGTACAGGTCCTCGTAGCCCTGGGTAGTAGATGGATGGACCTGAAAGTCTGGGTGGGTTTCCGCACAGAACGAAAATATCGACATAAACACAAACACGATGGAGATCCAGGCGTATATCTGAAACACAGAAGCATTACACTAGTACACTCATGAAACACATTTCATTACTAGTTGTTTGCACTGCAATAATGAAAGACTGTATTATATCTGATATCTTATTAACACACGTGACCATGTTATAAGTGCTATTATGGCTATTCAGTGATGATAATTACGACAATGATAGCTTCAGCTTAAACAAGACTTTGTATAATGGCAGGACCTCGCCTATATAACTGTGAGTCTAGTTTACAAACAAGACGGTATCCCCATGGAGCTATTCATGCAGACTCTGGTTTGCACAGACGCAGCTTCAATTTTCCTTGGTAAGGGTTGAGATTGGTTTCGGTTAGCAGGGAGGGCGATATCACGTCACATTAACCTGTCTGCTCCTCAAAACCTCCCAGTCGGTCATTAATGGATGGAAGCATGTTCCCTGGACATTAAGGCTCGTAGCCATCCGCACGTGCACTCGTTTCGTATCTTGAAAGGCCAGACAGATATGGACCATTGTCGCAACACACACTCTGTGTTGGTCAATAATCCTACCATATAACCGTGATCTGTCTCTGTGTAGTTTTACAATATATACCCTATCTTAACTTCTGCTAGGTTTCAAATATAATTTCTATGAAACAGTTTGTCTGTTTGATTTTTAAATGTCAATACAAAATGTGTCTGATAATTCAAATTACCAACACGGGTAGCTCACGGATATAACAGAGAATTCGAATAAGACATACCGCTGTTTCTACAACAACAGACGGGTTTGCTCCTAAGTCATCAATTCATCAATGCAATTGTTGTATGAACATTCATCTTTACCACGCGTGGAATAAACTGCAAAAACGTTTTGATTGGCTGTAAAGGGAACTTTTACCGGAAAGGTGCTTCACGCACTCGCAGAAATTAAAACCCACCAAAAGTAGTTTACCATTAATGTTGTGATACGTTGATTTCGTTAGGAGTTTCTATCAACTTATATCTCTCAGGATGATAAGTATACATATCTCCACAAATTCAATTTGTATATTAATTAGCGGCATTTCGCTACAGGTCAATTCACTGTCAGAATAGCTTTTTTATTCGTGGCTGTTGTAGATGTTGTATGATAGTTTTAGGTTTTGTAGCGTTTGAAAAACAATAAACGGAAGCGAAGGAATTTAAAACAATTACTTGTATAACCTCTAGTGATAGGGATCAGATTTGTGTCAACTGTACAAATTGTACAAGTTACAATATGTATAAAGGGTTTTGTAACTTAATTTTTCTATGCCCGCTAATTTTCTAAATGATTCGTCATGATTTCCTTTTTTACTTTCAATCCAAATCCATTACACCACACTCCAATATTCTATTTAATTTGTTTTGTTTACACTTTTTTTACCATTTTTGAAACCCATTTTTTCCAACTGACGTGACTAATCATAATGACAACTACATGATAATTTCACATCAAAATTTGGTCATGAATTCGTCTAGGAATAAATGATGTCGGACAAGGATATGTGTCAGTATAGAGGCTTGGTGTGTACAGGGGTGTGGACCAGTATAGAGGCTTGGTGTGTACAAGGATGTGGACCAGTATGGAGGCTCGGTGTGTACAAGGATGTGGACCAGTATGGAGGCTCGGTGTGTACAAGGATGTGGACCAGTATGGAGGCTCGGTGTGTACAAGGATGTGGACCAGTATAGAGGCTCGTTGGGGTCAAGGATGTGGACCAGTATAGAGGCTTTGTGTGTACAAGGACGTGGACCAGTATGGAGGCTCAGTGGGGACAAGGATGTGGACCAGTATGGAGGCTCAGTGGGGACAAGGATGTGTGGGGACAAGGATGTGGACAGTATGGAGGCTCTCCACAAGGATGTGGACCAGTATGGCTTTGTGTGTAGGCTATGGAGGCTGGTGTGCACAAGGATGTGGACCAGTATAGAGGCTTGGTGTGTACAAGGATGTGGACCAGTATAGAGGCTTGGTGTGTACAAGGATGTGGACCAGTACAGAGGCTTGGTGTGTACAAGGATGTGGACCAGTATAGAGGCCTGGTGTGAACAAGGATGTGGACCAGTATAGAGGCTTGGTGTGTACAAGGATGTTGACCAGTATGGAGGCTCAGTGGGGACAAGGATGTGGACCAGTATGGAGGCTTGGTGTGTACAAGGATGTGGACCAGTGGGCTTGGTGTGTACAAGGATGTGGACCAGTATAGAGGCTTGGTGTGTACAAGGATGTGGACCAGTATGGAGGCTTGGTGTGTACAAGGATGTGGACCAGTATGGAGGCTTGGTGTGTACAAGGATGTGGACCAGTATGGAGGCTTGGTGTGTACAAGGATGTGGACCAGTATAGAGGCTTGGTGTGTACAAGGATGTGGACCAGTATGGAGGCTTGGTGTGTACAAGGATGTTGACCAGTATGGAGGCTTGGTGTGTACAAGGATGTGGACCAGTATGGAGGCTCAGTGGGGACAAGGATGTGGACCAGTATGGAGGCTTGGTGTGTACAAGGATGTGGACCAGTATGGAGGCTTGGTGTGTACAAGGATGTGGACCAGTATGGAGGCTTGGTGTGTACAAGGATGTGGACCAGTATAGAGGCCTGGTGTGTACAAGGATGTGGACCAGTATAGAGGCTTGGTGTGTACAAGGATGTGGACCAGTATAGAGGCTTGGTGTGTACAAGGATGTAGACCAGTATGGAGGTTCATTGTGTACAAGGATGTGGACCAGTATGGAGGCTTGGTGGGTACAGGGATGTGGACCAGTATAGAGGCTTGGTGTGTACAAGGATGTGGACCAGTATGGAGGTTCATTGTGTACAAGGATGTGGACCAGTATGGAGGCTTGGTGGGTACAAGGATGTGGACCAGTATAGAGGCTTGGTGTGTACAAGGATGTGGACCAGTATGGAGGCTTGGTGTGTACAAGGATGTGGACCAGTATGGAGGTTCATTGTGTACAAGGATGTGGACCAGTAAAGGATGTGGACCAGTAAAGAGGCCTGGTGTGAACAAGGATGTGGACCAGTATAGAGGCTTGGTGTGTACAAGGATGTGGACCAGTATGGAGGCTTGGTGTGTACAAGGATGTGGACCAGTATAGAGGCTTGGTGTGTACAAGGATGTGGACCAGTATGGAGGTTCATTGTGTACAAGGATGTGGACCAGTATGGAGGCTTGGTGTGTACAAGGATGTGGACCAGTATAGAGGCTTGGTGTGTACAAGGATGTGGACCAGTATGGAGGCTTGGTGTGTACAAGGATGTGGACCAGTATGGAGGTTCATTGTGTACAAGGATGTGGACCAGTATGGAGGCTTGGTGGGTACAAGGATGTGGACCAGTATAGAGGCTTGGTGTGTACAAGGATGTGGACCAGTATAGAGGCTTGGTGTGTACAAGGATGTGGACCAGTACAGAGGCTTGGTGTGTACAAGGATGTGGACCAGTATGGAGGCTTGGTGTGTACAAGGATGTGGACCAGTATGGAGGTTCATTGTGTACAAGGATGTGGACCAGTATAGAGGCTTGGTGTGTACAAGGATGTGGACCAGTATAGAGGCTTGGTGTGTACAAGGATGTGGACCAGTATGGAGGTTCATTGTGTACAAGGATGTGGACCAGTATGGAGGCTTGGTGGGTACAGGGATGTGGACCAGTACAGAGGCTTGGTGTGTACAAGGATGTAGACCAGTATGGAGGTTCATTGTGTACAAGGATGTGGACCAGTATGGAGGCTTGGTGGGTACAGGGATGTGGACCAGTATAGAGGCTTGGAGTGTACAAGGATGTGGACCAGTATGGAGGCTTGGTGTGTACAAGGATGTGGACCAGTATGGAGGCTTGGTGTGTACAAGGATGTGGACCAGTATAGAGGCCTGGTGTGCACAAGGATGTGGACCAGTATGGAGGTTCGATAAGGACAAGGATGTAGACCAGTATTGAGGCCCTGTGGGGACAAGGATGTGGACCAGTATGGAGGCTTAGTGGTGCGTTAACATGGTTGTGGATAAGTACGGGTTGTGGACAAGGTCATGGATCAGCAGGTATATGGGCATCATGAATCTACACAGCTATGTTCCGATGTATTCACAAATCTAAATGAAAAAATAGATAAATGAAACGGATACTTGATACCTCTGGTCACAAACATACAAATATATTGCTAAAAAGAACAGATAGCTATGCCTGGAAAATTTTGTTCTTAAAATTTCAAATATATCTTTAATTTCTAACGATTTTGGAATTCCGCATTGTTAGAAGTTACACTAACCTCACTTACAATCATAGTAGTACATAGGTATAGGTAGTTGATATTGGTTACTTTTCTTGAACACTACAAAGGGACATCACGGTAAAAAAAACAACTTAATTTTGCTATTGGTTGTGCGTGATTTATACTATTGCAGCTAGACCACCTCTTTTGTTCGGGAAACCCTTCCTAAATTTAGCGCTGATAACGTCACGCGATAGTTTTGAAAACGAGATTGTTCATTTTGTAAACACGAACACGTGATGGTGTCATTAGTTTCACAGTTAAGAAAATACCGTCTTTCAGCAGCGGATTTCGTTGCGGGTGTGGCAAATGTTGTTTGATAAATCTAAGTCAATTCAGAATTACGAAATAAGTAACACTAATCGCCAATCGATTCAGTTGAGAAGCCATGTTAGTTTACCGGTGACAACGTTGTGTGCGCACGAGTTATCATATAAGACGCAAACATTTACATAACCAGATTGTTGATCAAGAGATCAGGATTTTCTTTTTCTAATTATTAATTAGCCTCTTTATGTGCATATTTTATCGAAAACCAACCGTCATCGTTCACAAAATGATACACTTGATATATATACGATGATAAAAAATATAAAAAAAACCAGTCGTTTTACCGCTATGTCGCTGCAAACCACGATATATCGTGTGTATTCCTTGTCGGGAAAATACCTTTAATCTACTATCCCTTCCAAAACATAGTTACTTTCTAAACAAACAAGAAAATGTCTTTATTCAGCTAGAATGCTACTAATTCTCGGGTCCCTGTATACGTAAACAAAAAACTCACGTTTCTTCTTTGACATAAGTAGAAAATGTTATGGTAAGCTTAGAGCAGATGTCAGGGTAATCACACTGTTGATTACAAAGCCCGCATCACCATACCTACTCTATAAACCCATCGCCTGTCTTGTTGTCGTAAACATTGTAATACCCTGTTACCATGAAAACACTTGCTCCACACTGTACACAATCTGGTACTGGAGTACTTTAAACATTTTTTTTATCGAATTCCCCAGAATAACCCACATTGCTGTCTAAATAGCTCACCTTATTCTTGTCACTGGTTAATTCAATTACTTAACTTGCCAAAATATGTCACTTAATAGGGTTCTAGACAACAGCTTTGACAGCGCTCTTCAACCAAATCACTCAAGACGGCGGCCTTAACTTTTAAATCACCCACCGAAGCTTCCTCGTTGGCTCAAATGACTTAAAATAAATTGGTGGACTTATGTAGCCTATTTATTCTCGTTAATGGCTAACTCATCTTCATCATTTCTGACTCAGTGGCGCGACCACGTCATTGACAAACACATCTATACCGTGTCTCTGGCTTATCTCGACTAAAATTGAGTCTTTGTCTTTTTAATTCGCTAAATTCTTGTTAACGACAGAGTAACTGTGTCGCTAACAGATCGCTGTTAAACTATCTCACATCAACCTATACTAAAGACATGCCTACATAATTGTATCACTCGCAAAACTCTTCATCAAAACGGAGGCGATGACTTAAACTGATAATAATGATAATAATATTTTTGAAAATATTTTAATACAACTTTTTTTTAAATTTTTTTCCCGTTTTTTTAAAAATTTGTTGTGCACATTTTAGATAGTTAAGGCTCGCAAAAAATACACACTAGTTATAACAAAGAAATATATTGATAAATAATAACTTACCTTAGCGCAACAGGAAGAGTTCGGGTCTTGAAGAAAGTTCCAAGCTTTAGCACGACTCCTCTTCCAGCAGCTTGAGCTTTTCCGGTCTTCCTCAAGTTCTTTAAGGGTTGTTGATCGCTTCCGGTCATATTCTAGTTTTTCTAATGATTGATTTTGCGTTTTCCACGTGTTGTATGGTTGCCAACAACACCGTTCGATGTCCATTTCCTGTACCCCCCAATATTCAAACTCTCTTTGGAGAGCGGGACCGCACAAGTATGTCGGTAAGTGAAGCTCTCCTGTCCGTAGGTAATTAAGTATCACACTGAAGGCTTGAGGATCCCTGTCGAAGAAGAAGTCGCCTTTATTTTCCCTGTAATGCTTCATCATTTCACTGTCTCGAGCTAATTTGCATGTTTTTAACCTTTTAAGTGTGGTTTTGAGCGTCTCGAACACTTGACCACCGACATTAAGTATCACAGTTTCGCGGTTTTTATATTTTTGACTTCCATTACTTGGACATCTACATACTTCCTGTAATTCTACATTGTCTAGATTTACTCGATTTCGGTTCTTCAGAATTCCACCACCACCACCACCTCCACCTACTACTATCGCAGCACTGAACGCCATTTTGTCATCTGTCGTGGTCTCCACTGGCAAACAGTTTCCATTTACTCGTTCATCACTGTCGCTAATTGCCACCTTCCGTCGGTTACATTTCACACACACGTCATTACCGCTGGAATCGTCCTCGTCAGAGTCTGTCATTGCTGTCAACGATCTCAGGTGACCAATAGATGACGACTTTCGGCCTTTGTCCGGGTCACGTGGCAGCTGAGGTAGCGAGGTTCGTCTTGCCTGGCAGGAAGATACAGTGGACACATAAGCCATACTATTTATAAACAGTTACACAGGTAGGTTAATGTTACGACGTGAAGGGTGTGTTATTCTGAATGGGTGGGGTTCATAGCTAAATCCACAGGTATGATGAACTTTAACTCTGAGTCGGCAGCAGCCACGACTTGTACAAAGGTGTACAGAGGAGGTCTGGGCAGTTCTAAGTATTACACCGCCACTGAATGTGGCCTGGAGTACATTTGGAATGTACAAACCGGTGAATCTAGTATGGTACATATTATAACCCCTACATACCTGTGCTATAGAACAATAATAAATGTCACACACAATCATACACCATGCAGTAGAATGGACACACACATAAGACCAGGCAACAACACTCATCATCAAATATTGTTCTCAAACACCTTTATCTGTCAGTTTCCTTTTGAAAAAAATGTTTAGCCATGTGGAAATTTCAGACAGTTTTTAACATATTCTTGATTGCTTTTAAGGACCGTTTTACGTGAAGTTAATTATCGTTAGAGGTAAAACTACACCTGGAAAAGCTCTCACAGAGACTGCAATGTGACTTTCAGACCAGAACTCATACCACGTGACAAAGAAAGAATCACGTGACAAAGAATGCTCACAGAGAAAGTACCACGTGACATTCAATGCTCACAGATAACGAATCATGTGACATTCAATGCTCAGAGATGTATTACAATGTCGCACAGAATGCTTACAGAGAAACTACCGAATTGCACTGAATGCTCACTCAGAACGTATCATGTGACACAATGCTCACACAGAAAGTATCATGTGACATTGAATGCTCACAGAGAAAGTATCGCTTAACACTGAATTCACTTTGGGACAGTGACTGCGTAACGCTTAGTTATTTTGATAGTACAATGTCACATTTTAAAGACATAAACAGCATAAATATATAACTAATTTCAGTTATCTCTAGTTTTATAAGAATATTGGTAATTGTCCATAATACAAAATACCCTCACAGGATGACACACCACTCAAACTCGAAAATCCTCCATCCTTACTTCTCGATGAGATCTTGACAAATCATTCTAATGCTTGGGTAAGATATTTGCCATGAAGCTTTACAAAATATTCTTACTAGCAGATGAGATCTTGATCTCCGTAATGCTAGATAAATCAATCTAATTCCTTGATAAGATATCTGCCCCTGTGATGCTTCACAAATAATCTTTACTCCTTGATAAGATCTTGGTCCCCGTAACGCTTGACTTCGGGTACCAAGGTCTTAATTATCACGTAATGCTTGATTTATGGATGTAATAGAACTCGTGTTATGTTCGCACACATTCAAGGAATAGAGAGCATAAGGTATGCAGAACACAAACAATACTTAGGAGGCGACACTTGACGGGTGACATCGTGATGGGATGTTACGTAACGGTACATCAATAACACTTACGCTGATACCATAACGCGCGACTGTATTGTGTGCAACGGATTTGAATCCCGAACTCGCCTTTTTGGTTTGTATGAAGCATGGTTAAAACACATTTCTTACAGCTAAATCTAAGCGATATAACACTTTTTATTTCGCAATATCTTATTTCACAATATCTTGTTGTCTGCTGACAGGGATTTTGCATCTATTTCGAGGCCGCGGTGGCAAATTGGTTAAAGCGTCTCTCTATCATTAGATCCTTCAAACTCTAGGTCGCGGGTTCGAGGCCTGCGTGGGGCAGTCGCCAGGTGGCTGCAGGTTGGTAGGTATTCTCTGGGAACTTGGTGTTTCCTTCACCACCAAACCTGACACGGCCTTAAAGGCACCAAAATGGTTAGTTTCGTTATTTTTTCCATGCGTTCGATTTCGGGCAAGCTTTGTAATACTTCTATTCACAAAATTATAGCACATTTTGAGCAGAGATATAAAGATCATCAGCTTTAAACTAACACTGGTCGACAATCGCGGTTGTGTCTACCGCTAGTCGCTCGTTTTAACCCGCCGCTTTGTTATGATTTCAAACTTTTCTCACGTCGCGCATGCGCAAACACAATTTTTCTACACTTTCTGAACGATAATGATATATGACATGGTGCAGGGTCGCTCCCATTTTACTTTAATTTGTTGACGTTTTCAATAGAATGGTTGTGCAATTTTTAAATATCATTATTAACAGAAAGTGTACACTTTTAGAAGACATTTTGTTGTTATAATGCTTTTTACCGGATATGAAATGGATATCTTACAAGTCCCTTTAAATTACACTGGCTGTTGATATGACGTACAGCAATAATAAACAAACAAACAAATCACACCCATTTCCTACTGAAGGCGTTTTAACATATTTAAAAGCAAAAAACGGATAGCTAACCACCAGCGAAAACATTCTGCTTATCAGGAAAGAAATCTGTTCCATTCTTTTGATGTATGTAAATCTATTGTATTTATTTCATTGTAGTACGAACCAAATCACCATTTATCTTTGCCCATTTTCAGCACGTAGGTATAAGTAACGGTAGAGCTACAGTACATATGACCTGCCAGCTATACAAATCAACACTAAATGTTCGCACCAACGGTAACATAATCACCAATACGACCCAATACAAACAGTTGCACGTGTGTATATTGCCTAGTAATCAACTAATATAGGTGTGATTGTCACAGAGAGTATATATTGTACTAACGTTGTTTACAATTCCTAGCCAGCTCTAGTGATAATTCCATGATAACATTCACATGTACTAGCACCGGATCACGTGCGTCAAGGTGATTACAGGACGAAACATCACTGAGGAAAGCAAGGAGTACCATGACACTTCATGTTTTCAAACTGATCATTGACGGAAGGAATGCTAAATGAATACACGTAATAAGGAAGCTGGTGTTTTTTATAGTAAAAATTACCTAGACAATTTGCTTTATACGATTCTTATATCAGTGACATATGGTTATGACCGTTTGGCTGCTAGTCATTCTAGGCAAAAAACAAGCGTGTTCGGCGAGTCTCCCAAATAAAGACACAGTATGGTGTCAGAGAATATAGTCTAGATAATGAAGAATAAGGTTAAGTGACTTATCACAAGTTACAACCTGGTGAAACAGGAAGGTCCGTGATCTCAACTTCATCAAACACCAAATGCCTTACAGTTTACCATTGTCCATCAAAAGATCAGAATTCATCTTGGTCTCAATTCATCGAAACCTCATAATTTTCCAAGGTCTCCATCCATGATGACCCCAGAATTTACCTAGGTCTCCATCTATCAAGACCTCAGAATTTACCTAGGTCTCCATCCATGAAAACCTCAGGATTTACCTCGGTCTCCATCCATGAAGACCCCAGAATTTACCTAGGTCTCCATCTACCAAAACCTCACATTTTACCTAGGTCTCCATCTATCAAGACCTCAGAATTTGCCTAGGTCTCCATCTATCAAGACCCCAGATTTTACCTAGGTCTCCATCTATCAAGACCTCAAAATTTACCTAGGTCTCCACCCATGAAGACCCCAGAATTTATCTAGGTCTCCATCTACCAAGACCTCACATTTTACCTAGGTCTCCATCTATCAAGACCCCAGAATTTGCCTAGGTCTCCATCTATCAAGACCTCACATTTTACCTGGGTCTCCATCTATCAAGACCTCAGAATTTGCCTAGGTCTCTATCTATCAAGACCCCAGATTTTACCTAGGTCTCCATCTATCAAGACCTCAAAATTTACCTAGGTCTCCATCCATGAAGACCCAGAATTTACCTAGGTCTCCATCTATCAAGACCCCAGATTTTACCTATGTCACCATCCATGAAGACCTCAGAATTTACCTAGGTCTCCATCTATCAAGACCCCAGAATTTACCTAGGTCACCATCCATGAAGACCTCAGAACTGACAATTGTCTCAATTCAGCAGACCTAAGACTTTACCTTTTACTCAATCGGGCAGGAACTTAGAAGTTAATTTAGACTCAATACATAAAGATCTTTGAATTCACCTTGCATTAATTTTTTTAATTAACCTTTGACTCGACTCCATCCATCGAGATATTAGAAAATTATCCTTAATTCAATCCGTCATAATCTTAGAATTAAGCTTTAGCCCAATCAATCAATATCTTAGAAATTATATTTGACTCATCCGTCAGGATCTTTTTAATACCTTTGACTCAGTCCGTCTTGATCTTTTAATTTACTTTTATCAATCTGTAAGTATTTAAGATTTTAGATTTCACCTTTGGGTTGATAACATCTTTTAGACCAGGCTTCTACACATAAATCGATCCTGTAGACCTGATTCTGTAAATGAGGGAATTCGAAGACTAGGACTATAAACGACTTCGCCAAGAACGCCTACATCACTTGTCATGATGAGTCAGAGCAATATTTGCATCAACAAAGACCTCTGTTTCTCTAATTCGAAAGACTTTTACAGACAGAGTTCACAAAAGCGTCAATATATTATTTAATTTTCTAGTGCACGAGCGGCTGCTTATCGATACGACAAAGTGTTACTGTACATCACTTGCCGCGGCGATATAACTCAGCAACTATTTTTGACCACTTGAGACTTTTGATATGAAACGTTCAACAGAAAAAGGTTTTTTATAAAACAATATAAAGATTTTTATATACCGAATTATAAAAAGAGTCAGTTTATTATCTAGTTTGCTAGCGCATGAGCGACTGCTTCATAGGTCGCCACATTGCGCGAAATGGTGTTAGTGTACATGACTTGCGGCGACAGTGTAATTTAACAACTATTTTTGACCGCACCACTGGAAACTATTGGTATTAATGTTCAACAAATAGTTGTTTTTTTTGATGAAACTATGTCTTCAAACTGTCATGGAACATAATGTTTAAAGATATTTTGTTTCCGATGTTTTCAATTTGGTTCGGTGATAAAAGCGTAAGCTGATCGTTCTGTGTTCATATTCTGTGCCGTTTTCCTCTCTCGGCTTTGATCAGTCGGGAGGTTAGGTCACCTTCGGCGTCAAAGAAGTACTCTTTCCTGCGCG